TCAGCAGGATCAATGTTTGGCACCATGTCAAAAAGTAATGATAGCTTTTAGCTATAGATATCAATACAGATGCAAGAACACGATTTTAAGCATAAATATTTGAGACTATTCTCACTTCTACTAACTAGAGGATGCAAAAGACATGATTCACATGCCGGGAGAGATTTCATACTTCTAATAAATTAAAACAATACCACAGCAGCTTCAGAAAATAAAGCATTTTCTGACTGATCCCAGAGACAAAGTCCTAGATTTACATAGTCTATAGGCCAACACAATACTAATACCCATCATTTCCTCTTGGCAGATTTAAGACCCCATGAGGCACCAGACACAAACAAGAACTGATGTAGAGGGTAGATATTTAAATCTTTCGACTAAAGCGTTAAGATATGAGGAGAAACAGACTTTTGCAGAAGACCTGAGCAGTGAAACAGCAACTCTAGCAAAGTGCCTGCAGCAGGAAAGGAAAGCCTCCAGCACACATATCGTTTGGTTTCTGCCCCAGCATTGAGCACCTCAGGTTATAAATGTCATAAATTAAGGAAAAATCTTAAAAGCTGAACTAATACACCTCACTGCACATCACTGACAAAGGAACAGCTGTTAGGAGGGACGGTATTGCCAGGAGTAGGTCGATGAGTGCTATTTCCCGCTTCGCTGTTAGGAGGGACGGTATTGCCAGAAGTAGAGTAGGTTGATGAGTGCTATTTCCCACTTTATGATTCAGTGTGTACTGATCTCTGTCTGTCCTGAAGCCCTTGTGTGCAGAAATACCTCCTTGCTAGCCTCAAGCCAAGATGTTTTCTGGAACGTCTTCCCCGGGACCATGGTTTTGCCAGGCTTTCTCTGCTGCACAGGCTGTTTCCCTGGTCTGAAGCCTAAAAAGCTGCTGTACAAGGCGTCATCACACCCCAAACCTCCTTGCCTGGCATCACCCACCAAGACTGGATCCATGGCACCTCCAGAAACCAACTCTCCTGGGCTTCTGCAATGACACTATGGGAAAAGGGGACTAATAAGGAAAACGGATGGGAGGTGCCAGCAGGCTGTTGCTCGCAAGCCATCTGATCCATAGCCTGCATTGAGTTGGAGCCAGTATAAAGTCATAGTGGTAAAGTGTTTTGTTGTAGTGGGGTACACTCATGGGCCATTACTACTACGTAGAGGAGTGATTAATTTACCTGGATGTACCACAGATAGCTGAATAAGAAAACAGTTACACTGTCAAATATAAGGATGTTCTGAAGTGTTTGATCTTGCGGGAGGAGCAAAAGCAAATCATACACTGTAGCAAACAACCTCTTTCCTGCAACTGGTATTCACATACAATAGTTGCTCCTTCTTCCTGAAGCGACATTAAAAGTATTTATATGACCAAAAAAACGCATTTCTCATTATAAAATATTTTGAGACATAGTAGGCTACTAAAATACCTAATGCAGTTTCCACCACTCCTTACCCTTCCCCTAGACACACAGATAGGAAGAGTTCTCTTAGAAGAAACCACCCCACAGAAGCAGCCCCCTTGCTTCTCCAAACATTCCTAGGACACAAGTAGTACATGCCTCCACGGCTGAGACTTACCCACTGCAAAGTCAGAAATAGCAAGATTGAGAAAGAAGTAGTTACTCCGATGCCTCAGGTTTCTGTCCATGATGAAAGCAAGGATCACCAGAACATTTCCAAGGATGGTGATCAGAGCTAGCAACACCATGAGGAAAGCCAGCAGCACCAGCACTCCCAGTGAAAACTGGGAGCCCGGTGGCTCTGTGGATAAAGTTGCGTTACATGTTCCAGCCGTATGCAGAGTTTCAGCAGTGGCGTTGTGCATGTTGCATATCCCGGTCAGTTCAGCCTGGGAAAAGATTCGTAGCTGGCAGAGTTATCCAAAAGGTTAAGACAAGTCTATTAACAGGACGGACTGAATACTGGCACATCCAAAAAAAAAAAAATCAAACAATACCAAAATAAAGGATCACAAGACTTCAAGGCCTGGAGTCTCTGATGTTCCTTGATCTGAATGCACCTATTGGCCTGAAAACAAAATCTATAAAAAAGATACCTCATAAGCAGCAGTATGTCTACACTTTAAAATAAGTTATCTCTTTCTCTCCTGAACACTGATCCTTATCTACTGAGGTCAGAAAAGTTAGTCTGAAAACAGCTCTTCTTAGTCAGGCAGTTTGCATATTAGCATTGTGTAGGCATTTTTACAGATTGAATTCTGCTGAAACTAAAAACAGATCTCATTTTCACTTCCTCAGTGATCAACAGGACTTAAATTATTTCAATGCCATTTCTTTGACAGTAAGATGTCGACATTGTTGCGCTCGCTGCTATACCACTTACTAAATTTTACCGTTAAGAACAGAGAGGTGTGTATTTCTTAATGCTGCTGGTTACAGAGCATTTAAAATTCAGCTCTACGCAGCAGAAATACCACCAGTATCTTTTCCACTCATTTTAATCAGAAGCAAGCCTAGCCCTGGGCTCAGCAAACCAAACACCAGGACTTCGGAGGTCCTTATAAGCACGGCCCATCAAATCCTCCACTTCCCAAGTAATTCCAGGTAAGCTCCCACTCCACAAAGTGCCAACCCCTTAGCCCTTTGCAGGCGTGAGAAGGCGTATCCCTCCTTCTTCACAATCTCATCTGTTTCGGTAAGGGTGCGCAGAAGCCGGCAGGCTGTGGCTGACGCCCGCAGCTCACTGGCTCTGTAGCACCTTGGCACACCCTGCGACCAGCTTTTCCGACGGCAGCCCTGATGCTGGGGGCTCGAGAAGACGTAGGGCAAGGAACAAGGAAGGAGAGGGCGGACAGGATGTGGGGAGGGGAGGTGCAGTGCTTTGATCTTGTCTCAGGGAACAAAGGGAAATACATTTTAAAGAGTTGGAAGCAGGAACAGAAGAGACCTCAGGAATGATTTCAGCATGGCAGACAGGCACCTGCCTTGGGTCCATGTGCACAAATGCAGGCTGGGAAACACTCAGGAGGAACCAGAGCTCCCAGCGCAGTCACAAAGCAGCTGGTCATGAAGCCAGCGACATGGGTGACATAGTTGCAGGGGTGTGATGCAGGGCACCCCAACGAGGGTGAGGCGAGTGATGAAGTCTTTAAGCAAATAAAGGAAGCTTCTGGAACACAGACCATTTCTTGTGTGGGACTTCAATGTTCATGGCATATGCTGGAAGGGCAGCACAGCAGGTACAAGCAGTCAAGTTTCCTGGAGGTTGTCAAGGGAGAACTTTCCGATACAAGTACCGAATAGGCACAGGGAGGTGACACACAGCTACATCAGCTGCCCACTGGTAAAGAGGGGCTGGTTAGGGATGTGCAGTCAGTGGCAGCCTGGGCTGCAGTGACCATAAGCTAATGGAGTTCAAGATCCTAAAGGGCGTGAGAAAGGAGACTAGCAGCGTACAGACCATGGACTTCAGGTGAACAGACCGGTTTATTCAGGAAAGTGGGAGGCAGGATCCCATGGGAAGCAGCTCTCAAGTCCAAAGGAGCTCAGAGAACCTTCAGGCCTTTAAGGACAGCAGCCTCGACACACGAGGAAAGCCCAGCCCAGTTCTCAAGAAAGCAAGTAGACGCATCAGGAGCCCAAGGAAGCGACACTGCAAAAAGGCAGCGTGGGGGAGTTTGAAGCAGGTACAGGTTACAAAGGAGGAACGTAGGCAAGTTGCCTGGCCACATAAGCATGACGTTAGGAAAACCAAAGCTCACGCTGAGTTGATGCTTGCAAAGGACATCAAGGACAACATAAAGAACTTCAGCCACCCCATTAATAGTAAAATGCTGAATGAGAAAAATGTAGGCATTTTGTTGAATGGGGCCAGTGACCTAGTGACAGCAGAGGCAGAAAAGGCTGAGGTACACAATGCTTCCTTTGCTTCATTCTTGGCTATTTGGGTCTCCCTCTCCTCCATGCTTAGTGAATGAGTTCAAGGAGGAGACCTGTCATGAGCAGGTAAGAATAAGGCAGCAATTATTTGACTTGACCCATAAGAATCCTTGGGACCCAACAGGCTGCACCCAAGGCTGCTGAGAGAACCAGCTACCAACCCTGCAAGACCACTTTCTATCCTCTTTGAAAGGTCTTGGAGAAGAAGGAAGGTTCCCAACAACTGAAGAAAAGCAAGTGTTGCAACCATCTTCAAACGATGCCACAAACACTAAAGGTGAGCCTCCCTTTGGCCCATGGGAAAATAATGGAGCAAGTCCTCTTGGAAGGCATTTCCGAGAACTGGAGGGAGAAAAAGGTGACTGGGAACAGTCAGCATGGGTTTACCAAGGTAAATCATGCCTGTGAAACCTGGTTATCTTCTTTGATAAAATTACTAGATTAGTGAACAAGGGGAGAGTAGTCAAGGGCTTTTGAAAAATAAATCAAATGTTGATGTTTTAATCATAGTCCTTCAATGGGGTTGAGAGAGAAGTCTATGTGGTCTCACATTCCTTCCTTCCTGTGGAGGAAAACCATAGCCTAACATGAAGGAGACAGACATTAGGAGACTCATTAGGGTTAAATACTCATCCCAGAAATAAACAAGCCAAAGATAACACAGTTTCTTTCAACATGTATGTTTTATTTGTTGGGGGATTTTTTTAAGACTTGAGAGGGCCAAGTTAGAAAAACACTGTTGTGGTTTCAGTTGAACCTCAGAGTCATATGCCTACTGTCACCATGTATTTACAGGAGCTACTGGACATCTGCAAAGACAGAATAAAATTCAAGGACGTGAAATGGTGAAATGGATGAGTGGATAGAGAGACCTGGCTTAGGTCAGTTTGGTAAGCAAAGTCCTCTTCTGTCAGCTCATGAAAGGTATGCCCAAGAACAAATGCTGAATAGCTCACAATATCATACAATATCCCTGCAAAATATCTGATGGAGAGGTGAAGACTGAAGATGCCACATTGACCAAGATAGCTTTAATGCTGTGAGCACAGCAACTAAGTGCTTGGCTGAGCCTGGGAGCACTGAGCAGAATTTTCAACAATTAGAAAAACACAACAAATCCTTCACAGTTTGAACACCGTGTGTGTAATATAGAACGTTAAAACAATTGATCTCCAGTAGCTTCGCTAGTCCACGTGGTTTCAAATTTGCTGCACACTGTGCTCCCTGACAAACTCTTGTTTTTCAGTACTGCAAAATATGGATACAGCGTACCTAGTCCATAATTTTGTAGGCCGTTTTGCCGAAGTAAACACATCCTTGAATCAAAAAATGCAAACTGAATTTTTATACAAAAAGCATAGGGATAGAAAAGCAGATGACTCAAATGCTTTCCCACTTTGGGCCTACCTACAGTTTCTCTGTTTAAAAGATGTCCATTTAGTACACCAGCTACTCTACCAATGTTTTAAATGCATATGTGTTTGGTATTTTAAGCCTCACAGAAAAACAAACCCCACACAATCTATGCCAGCACCTCAGCTCATGACAGTGAGCTGTGCTGAACGAATGACCTCCTCCTGAAGCTCTACCTCTCTCTGCAATCAGGCTCCCAATCCATAACAGTATCCACGTGAGGCAAGGAAGCATAATGGGAATGACTGGTGAAAGACAATCTTCCACCAGCATGAAAACTGGCCAGGACTCTTCAGTTCCAGACCTCTGAACAGAATGGCATTTTATCTCCTCAAAGCCATCAAATCCTGTGCTATGATGAAGCTGCTTACATGCATTTGACTCATGCTTACAAAGGAGTACTCTGCTTTTCCAACACTTCTACAGACAATGTCAAATTAGACAAAAAATAATATTTAAATTGACTATTACTTTCCACGTTCTGTCCACCTGATTTCTCTTTCCGTATTTTATACATGTCTATGTATCTACAAAGAGGAAAGAAAAATAATATAAAAGGAAAGAACAAAAGAATGTAACCAGTGACTCTCACCCATCCATGAAATCCTCCTGGGTGAGCTGCAACAGCCAACACGAGGCAAGAATATTTGGTGCATGGTATGGTTATAGTCAAGCTCCATTGCCTTCACTCACTCCTTTTAGCACTAGATATTCACCCACATTGTTTATCGCAGCTGCTTAAGACACCTCTGTGTCAGCTTTCAGACAAACCTCTGTGAATCCGGCCCTTGCCGTGTGAAAGAAAAAAAGTCCAGTTTGATAGTGGTTCAGTGGTGGAGAAAAAGCTATATAATGTCCCAGTAACAGGACACAAAGAAATGATCCGGTATAAAAATCACTCTGTCAGTTCGAATTTGCTCCAGACGTTTTGATGGAATATCTTTGCATTTGCAAAGCTTTACACCCGAGAGGGTATTGTCTGTTCTCGCACAGCCCACCAAAATCATAAATCCAGCGTGAACTTTGTACTGTTTGCTCTGCTGATTCAACAGGAACGTGATCACGTGCCCAAGCCTGGCATATCTATCGGGGAACCAAACAGTGCACAAATCTGTCATCAAAAACCATTTAAGCATAACCAAAGAGGCAGCCACTGTCAGGAGAAAAAGACAGAACTGGTGAGAAGAGTAACGACCACTTAACGCCTGTGGTAGTTTTGAAAACCAATCTCCATTACTACAGAGACCTTCATTCTCTGAAAAATCATCCAGAATTACTAATTTACATATACTGTGTCCAGCAACACCATGTATGGACTATATTAAAATTAGAAAAGGACAGATAGGCTGGCTTAGACAGTCCATTCACTTGCATATTGCTCCCTGTGGGGATTATAATGACTACAGAGCACTTGCCATCATGATAGTTTTTAACATCAAGTTATATTGCTCCTGTAAATATTTATACACTGCAGCAGAGCTGCTTCTCCACTGATAGCTTCAGGTTCACAAACAAATTTTAATTCAACACATACATA